TCTAGACAGCTTTGTAATAAGGTAGTTAAAGGGACCATGAAATGATTTTAAAATGGAGTTTCATCCACCGCACGTCGTAAAAGGTGTGAAAAGAAACACAAAAACACAAAAATAGGGAGCCCAAAAAAATTATTTGCTATAGAACTTTTAAAAGAAAACTGGACTCTTTTGCGCCTTCCTTCCTTCGCCTGTTCACTACGATGCATACGCAGAATCGGTGCACGTCAGCCGAATCCACATCGCCTATTGGGTAAGAGCCTACCTCACCAGCACCGCGATCGTAAACAATAAATAGCCGGCGAATGTTTCCTAAAAGCTTTGTTAAATAATATTCAGATCCACATTTTGTAGCATAATTAGAGATGTGTGGCGAAAATTGCCACATTTGATAATGCTGAGAGCCAAGCGCCATCTATCGTGTGGTAAACGAAGCAACTACTGCGCGTGCGCAGTAGGGCAGGGCCGCCAGTTACTTGGGTGACGGCGACCGACGAACATTTATTTTCTTTGTTTTCCTTCCTCTCAAAACTCTGACTGACTGAACGTTTATTTTTCTACGTGTTCTTCCCGCGCGTGCCGACTTCAAGCAGCAAGAAAACAGTACTTAAAACAGACCACGACGAACAAGAACGCTGGATTCACCGACTCCGACGAAGCGTATAGGCCTAGCAGGCATTCCGACTCGGCGCTGCGTTGCTTCGTCGCAAGACCGTCTGCCTACGACCGGCTGGCGTGCTAAATGGAATATGCCCGCGCGACCCTTGTGGACCCTTCCCGTATTATAGTTTGATCACTGACCTCAATTCTAGATTAAGAGGTGAGGAGGTCAATCTCTTCCCATTGTTTTCCGAGGCAGTGTTGACGAACACTCGTCGAAAAGGGACTCTCGTCGATTCTATCTTCTTGTTTTGTGTGATATAGAGCTGAAATAAACGCCGTATGGATTGCCTTCGTAACACGGTATGTACACTTTGTTATTGGTATGCCATTTTTATTCTGACAGACTGCACGTCACTGTCGACCCCGGTCCAACCTTTCTTTGCCGAGTGTCGCGTCAGTATCGAGTTGCAATCGTAAAAGAACGGTCCCGAAGCGCTTACCAACAGCGCGAATACAAGACTTCCATCAAGCGCGCGCGTCCGCTCCGAGTGTAAGCAGGTATTTACGTGGCTCTTGCTGACACTCGTAGTTCAAACGTATCTTTTTTAACGTCGGCTCGCTCCTGCATCTCCGAGGCCGCGAAAAACGCCATCTACGTCGCTTTGCAAACGACTGACACGGGCCGGCCCTTCTGCCAACAATGACGGGGTGGTGACAAGACTCGCTGCACTTCCCAACAGGCATACCGGCGTATGGGACTAGTCCCATGCTGTCGCTGTAGCGCAACATATCTCATTGAATTTCGCTTAGCTGCGATGCGGCGATGAGAGGCGCCGATTCAGGAAATACGTCGGTGACATCAGCGCAGTAAAACCTACCGGCGCACCCCAACTCGTTGCCGCTAACACTCCCATTCTCCTACTGCCGAGAGAACTTCCGGTTCCGGAAACGGTCTACGTCACGGCTTCTTTTGCGGTCAGTTGGAGAGAATGAAAAAGTCGATATTTCAATAATTTTTTGTGTAAAAGTTAATAAACCGAGACGAAAACGGATGCCTGTTCGGCATTCAGTGAACATTGACGGTTTAATGTAAAAGTTATCTGGAAAAAGTAAAAAGGTCATTTCATGGTCCCTTTAACACGTTCATCCCATGACATATTATCCCAAAAAATGACGCCTAGAATTTTAAAGGAATTTACAATCTCAATCTTGGTTGAGTCTAAACTAAGATCTCTCGTAATGTTAATTATTTTATTTTTAGGGCGAAAGAGCACTGCTTTTGATTTTTCTGTGTTTATTTGAAGTGCATTATATGTACTCCACAAATTCAACCCGGAAAGCATTCGGTTCGCCTTATCAATTAATAAGTCGGTATTTTCTGCAGAGAAAAACATACTTGTGTCGTCAGCATAATTTACAAATTTCGCTTCTGAATCTACATTGATCATGTCATTTATGTATATGTTAAAGAGAAAGGGACCCAGTATACACTCCGTGCGGGAACTATAGGGGGCGCTTTGAAAAACGCGCGCAGCGCCGCTAGCGGAGGAGCTGGCGTTCGACCGTGAGGCGCGTTCAGCAGCCTGCGGCGCCTTTTTGCATGCCAAGCTGTGGCGGCGGAAGCGCGCACGGACGGAACTTTTGCTTTTTGAGCCGATAAGTTGAGGGTGACGTTGCATGAGTGCTGGGGCAGACCTAAGAAGGGCATTTAGCTGTTCTCCACTTCTTATATATTGAGTTTGAGTCGTTAATAGGGGTAATTTCTCTAGTTGCGGCCAAAAAAGGAGTTGGAGCAATTTTCTGAAAAGCAAGACGGCCGCCACCATAATTGCTTTGAGTGGGAAATTTATTTCGCTCGTCACTGTAAACCTAGGACTGCTGGAACGATGATATTTGGAGGCGAGTGAGATGTACACTAAGTTTCTGCACGAAGTGTGTGGAAGTTGTTTCTAACGAATAAAGAAATAAAGCTGTACGGTATATCCAATATTGGACCCAAAATGTTGTGTTATAGCGGGCTGTGCAAAGTGCAGATTTGGGCACACAGGTGCTTGGACTTGACAGTAACATGACACAGCACTTATTATACAAAAAAAAAAAAGGTAGCATAGGGAAACCAGGTGAACATTTGTTTTGGGCGGCGTAACTCAATGGGAACCGGTTTTGACCATGAAAAGGCTGTCAAGATAATACCACTGGTCGGGGGAGGTGGAGACATTAGAGGTAGGAAGGGACTAGTGGACTGTACTTCCAATTGAAACAACTTTACGAAAGGTGGTTCCAAAGCCGAGAAAACGAAGTTGTCGGCCAACACACGGTTTGGCCGCCAAGGACTTTAGCGGTCAGCTGTTGTGTAATAACCTGTTGTGCGAGGTGCTGATTTTCGGCCCACAGGTACTTTGACATGACCGTCACTTGGCATAACATTTATTATAACAAAAATAGTTGGCATAGCGAAACCAGGTGGAAATTTAGTTTGGGCGGCGTAACTCAATGAGAACTGGCTTTGACCGTCAAAGGCTGCCAGAAAATACCACTCACTCATCGTGGGAGGTGCACACTCTACAGGTAGAAAGGGACCAGTGGACGGTACTTCCAGTTCGAACCACTTTGCGATAGGTGGCTCTAAAGCCGAGAAAAAAAATTGTTGTCTACAGAACTCGGGGTGTCAGTGTTTCCACGTCCAAAAGGAGGCTGATCAAGAAAGAAAGCACACCACATAAACTTCCATACGCAAACGCCGATTCTCCAGTGATTCCGAGTTTCATGGTTGTTTTCTTTAGATTGATATTTGTCACTTTTTTTACCGTTTGAATCTTTCTTCATGAAGCACAGATTGCGTGCCATATTTGTCCGGAATTATCATCGACTCGTACGATGGGGACGAAACTTCTTTGGAGGGCATTCCTCCAACGAAATGGGCACTGCATACCCGCGAGTGTGGGATGGCATTTCAGTTCGTCCCATTGACGCTGACACATGTAGGCGTTACTGGTACGAAAACAAACGCAGAGCGCAAAGCGGCAGTGTAGAATGTGTCAGCCGTGTCGACACAGTGGCAGACATGATCGGGACACCAAATTTCTCGCGTCGTATGGCACGGCTCCATCGTTGTCGCTGTCCCACAAAACATCGGCGAGGTGAAAAACTGTGAAACTTTGTCTCCACGAGATACGACGCATAACTATTGAAGCACTTAATGACGCAGCACAGGCTGCGTCATTAAGCTGTGAACCCAGCGCAACAGCACCACTCCGACTTAACGCGTACCAACGTACGCCGGCGTGGTTTCGGTTTCGTTTTCTCTGGGGTGCTCACTGCCTACCTTCGGTACCGGCCGCGCGGCGGCGCGCCAGTCGCGTCGCACGGAGTGTATACTACCTTGCGGTACACCAGAGTAAATAGGTTTGGTAACAGAGGAGTTTCCATTGATTGAGACGTATTGCAATCAATGCTCCAGATATGACTTTATTAGCTGCAAGGCATGCCCTTGGAAACCGTAAGTGTCTAATTTTGCTAGAAGTGTTTTATGATTAAGGCAGTCAAACGCCTTTGAGAAGTCGACAAACATATTGAGAACCAGTTTTCTTTCTTTGAAATTTTGGAGAATAAATTTTTTAATAGATCATAAGGCAGCCTCAAGAGACCTATTTTTCATAAATCCAAACTGTGAGGTATTTATTAAGTTATATTTGTTTGGAAACGTCATAATTCGAGTATAAAGTATTTTTTCGAGAGCTTTAGAGAAAACTGGGAGTATAGAAACAGGCCGATAATTCCCCATTTCGTTTATGCTTCCTTTTTTATGCAATACAGTCAAAACCCGATTTAACGAAGTTCCCGATTTACCGAAGATATCTCGATTCCCCAACAGACGCCCATAGGGTTCAATGCTTTTACTAACTCGAAATAACGAAGTCAATTTCGTGATCCGTCCCAATTTATCAAACTTTTTTTCAAGAAATGAGGGTAAAAAGGTCTTATTTTAAGTCCGTGTTCTAGAGAACTCCCAAAACTTTATCGATTACGAGCCAACGGCAAAGTCGCGGAGCACGCGAGTCCCGCTCTTTCCAAACTGCGCGCGCAATACGAAAGTTAAAAGTCTGAGTTGAATTCGCCAGATGGCACCAGCAGTAAAAAAGAAAAGCATCGTGTCGCATGCCATAGATGGCGCTGTTGCAATTCGGTGATCTCGTATGCTTCAACTTGTTTTGTGCAATCAGGTATCAGGTCGCTATCGTTCTTCTGCGGATATTTCCCGTGCTTTCGTCCCTCTTTTACGTCAGTTCCTCATTGAGCGCAAGTTACTTTTGCAGGCTCAAGTTGTTAGGCCTGTAGTCAGCCTAGCCTTGCTGTCTTGTAGACGCGGACGTGGTGGGTGCGAGCAAGCGCGCCGCTAGGCCTAGTGACTGGCGTGTTCGACAGGTTGGACATGGAGCCCCAGAAGAAAAGAAAAAGGCTTACTTTGGACGAGAAAGCGGCCATAATTCGTGCTGTAACAAGGGAACAGACGAAATGTGACGTGGCTGCAGCACATGGCATTCCAGCCAGTACCCTTTCTACAATATTGAAGGGGAACGACGACATCCTCCGCGCCACTTCGTCTGGGAACCTCGCGCACAAAAAAGCACTGAAGACTACCCCCCATGGCAAGGTGGAAGAGGCCCTTTTCGCATGGTTTACGGATGTGCGGGCAAAGAACATTTCCGTCAGTGGTGACCTGCTGCAACAAAAAGCTCGCTCTTTCGCATGCCTGCTGGGTGATGACGAGTTTAAAGCAAGTCCTAGCTGGCTGTCGCGCTTCAAAGAACGGTACAGCATCGTCGGGAAGGTGCTCAGCGGTCAAGCGAGCTGTGTGAACATGGCTGTAGTCGGCGACTGGCTGTCAGAAAATGTGCTCGACATTCTTGGAAAATACACTCCCAGCGACGTCTACAATGCCGACGAGAGCGGCCTCTTTTACCAGATGCTACCTAAAAAGACTCTCGCGCTGAAGGGCCAGACGTGCCATGGCGGTAAGCACAGCAAACAGAGGCTCACTCTCTTGCTGTGCGTTAACATGGACGGCAGCGACAAACGAGACCCCCTTGTTATCGGCAAGAGCGCAAGGCCGCGATGCTTTAAGGGCACGAAAAGGCTTCCTGTGAAGTACGTTGCAAACTCACAAGCTTGGATGTCGCGTGCCATTTTCACCACATGGCTCGAAGAATTTGACAGCGACATGCGCCGCCAGAAAAGGAACGTCTGCCTGTTGCTGGATAACTGCACCGCCCACTACGTGCCAGCGGTTGAGCTCACCAACATGGAGCTCCGGTACTTCCCCCCAAATGCTACGTCCGTGGTCCAGCCTCTAGACCAAGGGATTATTAATAGCGTTAAGTGCGCATACAAGCGTCGAGTCGTTGAAAGGGTTCTTCTGAACCTGGACCTGAAGCGCGATACGAAGATCGATGTCTTCATGGCGGTTGAGATGGTGGCGGCGGCTTGGAGGGCAACGAGGCAGTCGGTAATTGTCAACTGCTTCAGGAATTCTGGCTTCGGTACGCCAGGCCGCGAAACTGCCGAAGCTGCACCGGACTGCGCGGGCGCCGTGCACCAGCACGAAGATGCCTGGGAGCGCCTTCGCTTAGCGGATGAAGTGCCGACAGGGATGAGTTTCTCCAACTACGTAAACGCTGACGCAAACGCCGTCACGACTGAAGTTCTGGATGACGGGGACATCTTGAGGCTTGTTGGAAGCGTGGAGGGAGTGGCGGCTGACGATGTTGACGACGACAGTGAGGTTACCGAAGCTCCCGTGCCGACACCAGGCCAAGTGATGGATGCAATTGACCTGCTGCGGCAGTTTGCTGGAGCACACGAGGGAACCGAAGATGCGCTGGATGCACTTCAGGCCTACGAGAAGTCAGTCCGGCCGCTGCTCACAAAGCGCACGCAAGCAAAGATAACCGACTTCCTTGCTGGAAAATAAACGTGTAGTCCCCTGTGGCCCTCTTCGTTGAGGTAACAATTCTCGTTCTCTTTCTTTACATGCTAGCGATCTCGGTCGTTTCGGTAGGCCGCAATTTTACATTTTCAGCGCATTTACGCTGCGCAAATATGATGCCACCGTAGTTTTCTGGATGCCGCTACGCTACATAATCGATTGTGCCGAATTAAATGTTCGAAAAATGCCTCACCCGATTTAGCGAAGTTCTCGATTTAACGAAATAATTCGCGGCTCCCCTCGACTTCGTTAAATCGAGTTTTAACTGTACTAACACCTTAGAAATCTGCATTTTCTTCGGAAATACGCTCATGGATAAAGAGAGATTAAAAACATGAGATAACGCCGGCGCTATCAAGTAAGCAACGTACTTGACGGGACTTATCTGAATACCATCCGCGTCACAGCTTCCAATATTGTTTAGTTGTAAAATTATGGAATTTACTTCTGGTTTGACCACCGGCTCTAAGAATATGGAGTCATTGTTTCTTTTGTCGCTAAAAGCAGTAAAATGTAGTCTCATCATTACTTGCAATATTGATAAAATGCTCGTTAAAGGCATTTGCTAAAGAACATCCGGTAAGTTCAGTACCATTGCAAAAAATGTTCTCGACAGAGCATGAGGGTCGTTTACGATTGAGAATACGACACCCATCCGCAGAAAACTTTATGTGGAGCAGGTCGCATGCTTCCGAACGCGGGTCGCGTGTCCGGTAACGACGGAAACGCAACTTTGTCGTCGAAAAACAAAAAGCACGAGTTCACAGTTAAAACACTAAAAAGGCGCGAGGAAGAGAGTGAGCATGTCGACGAGTGAACGACTTTGTCCACACACAACCGCGGACGCAAGAAACCGGAACGCGATCGAACCTGCGAGGCGATGCTTCCGAATGCTCGTCCTCCGCAAAGGAACCTGACGCGTTGGCGAACGCGGGTCGCGTGTCCGGTAACATTGCAAACGCAACTTTGTCGTTGAAAAGCAAAAAGCACGAGTTGACAGTTAAAACACTAAAAAGACAGGAGGAAGAGACAGATTGTCGACGAGTGAATGAATTTGTCCGCACATGGCCGCGGACGCAAAAAACTGAAATGCGATCGAACCTGCAAGGTGGTGCTTTCCTGCCTCTTGGGCCCGCAACCGCACATTCGTCCCCGAGCCGACAGTGCGGCGACAAGCTTCCACCGCACTGTCAGCTTGGGGGCGAACGGAGTGTTGGAAATGCAACGATGAAAAGCAAACTATCTACAATGTCGGTGAAATAAAGCTATGTACAGAGCACCGTCGGCGTCTGGAGGAAGCGGGCGGCTTCAGAAGGATGTGGCGATGCTGGCGCCAAAGGCCTTGAGGAGGGTCTGGAGGAAAATCATGTCTGGCCTCATCAGGGTCTTTCTCTTGGCGTGAAGGGAGCACAGGTAACTCGCCGACAGGAAGTTCGTCACGAAGTCCTCCGACGCGTCCTGGAAAAGAGGTGACGCCCGTCAAACGCCGACGAATCGAGGCGACAAGTTGGAACTGAGACAGTCTCACAATTTTAATGTCGAAAAATTTACGGCCCACATTTTTTATATCGTTTCTAGTGACACAAGAGGAGAAAATGTGGCACCTTCGTTCAAAATGCTGCAGATTTGCTGCATACGGTAGAATCTCCATGATACAACGACGGTTCGTCCAAATTTTGGTACGATACGAATTTTTCGAAATTCCTGGCCGAAGTTCGTTAAGGCTAACCTATTACGTTTCGGGATAGTCTCCGAATGCTTTCTCGGCCGCGGTGGATCATGTGAACGATCATCAACGTTTACACATCTTGTGGAGGGGCATCACTTGGCTCCTAACGACTGTAGCAGGCTTTTTGAGTCACTTCTCTCGCTGTACTTTCTATGTACGCACCATGCAATCCCGACAACCGTAAATCCGTTCCAAAATTCGAAAACACACCCACGTCCAGCGCTGCTCTGTGTTGTCGCGTGATGAGAATTTGACTCGCTGGAGTAACTCGCATTTGCTTACTCCAGGGTTGCTGCTTTATATTTATTGTCACGCAATAAATGGGTTTCAGCAACTCTGACTGACTCGAGTGAACGTGCGAAATGACGTTTGGAATTGACGTTGATCGTGGAATCAACGCTTATCTAACGGCTTTCGCAAGTGTGAATAGTGGCTGCTCCTCCGGAACCAGAGGAAAACTTGAGAATTGAGGACTGAGACCTGCTTTGTGCCGAGAAATCGGCCTTTGATTTCATTACCGCAGATGACAGCCTCGCTACTTGCGGATTAAGGACTGCCGAGGCAATCGTTGACGAAGTGACGGCACTGCAAGGACGGTCAAGTAGTGGAGATAATGACGGCGACGTAACTAATGACAAGCAGCCACCAATGACTGCTGAAACACTGCATGCCCTCGATGAGCTGCGCCGCATAGTGAGCCCGAGATCAAGGTCAGCGACGACAGGTACGCTCGTTCTTCCGTGTTCCAAAAGTGCCGTTTGGGTGACATCGAAAAAAAAAAAGACTCAGAAGAACATTACCGACTTCTTTAGACGGGGGTTTGACCAATGAATTGCACGTACAGCCGCCCCTTTGCTTTCACGTAGTTAGGCGACTTTTTTTTTGTCAGTATGAATTTTGGATGATACAAAAATTTCCTGGGATCCCTCGAGATTCATATCATCGATATTCTACTGCAATTGCAAAAAAACAACACCATATTTTTTTTTAATTTGCAGTCTTGTGTGGTTGTCATCGGAACTATGGTGCGACATTTTTCGCGGTGCCATCTATCCATCTATCGGAAATAAAGGAAACCGTTTCCTCTCTTTCGCTACCTTCAACGTCTTTCCCCGCGGCAAGTCGTCCCACCTAGATCCCTCGACGACGGCAAGCGTGACCTTGAAAAGTTGACCAACGTGCAGGGAAGGCTGCTGGTCCCAAAGGCGACACCGAACCTCACTCGATACACTTCTACGTGTTCAATCTCTTTGTAGATTAAAAACTAGTGCACGCAAGAAAGAAAGGGTTCCCACTCCTCGTATTATGGGTGGCCTTGACTAATTCCCACAATTACTTGGCCAAAGTTAGAAAATCGTTGCACCGCCTCTTTAAAGGGGAGACACTGCTCTTTCATGTAATGGAGGACCGGCGGTTGGGTCTGTTAGTGCACTGCGGCTCGGAGAGCGTAGAGCGCAAGCTCGCGCCGCAAGACCCAAGGTTCCTGGTTCTTGTGATCCTCCCCTCTCCTGCCCGTTTCGATCTGGATGAGCATCCTACCGGCGTATGCCGAAGACCCAAGGCTAGCAGTGGTACCGACTAAACAGGCCCTGTAGGTCGATTCAGTCACAGGCCTACCTGACCTACGATTGAATAGGCATGTATTGACGAAAAAAAGGACTACCATATAATCCGGAGAGATGCCCCACCCGAGAAAGGTAACCCACCCCCATTTTTGGCTCGATGTGCTATTTTATTTGAAGCACCGAAAAATAGCCCACTCCTAGTAATCATAGTTTCGGATCAATGATGACCGTGGCGTAAATGCGTCTAGTTAGCTATGGCGAGATATAAGCGAACACTGCTGATTGGAAAGTACAGTCATCTTTGTTTCATTGCCCCTTGCCGCGATAACAACTTTGACAAGGACGCACAATCTAAAAATAGCATTTTTTCAACTTGCCTCGACTGCACACCAAAAGTTAGCCCACCCTTCAATTTCACCCAATTTTCTAACTATTTTAGGTGAGCTATCTCTCAGGACTTTACGGTATGTGGGCAAACGTTGACGGAAAGACGACACGGGTCGTTGCCGACGGCGACCGGTATGTGCGCCACGACGACGACCGAAAGACGAGGCGGGCCCACCTGTAGCGCCTGCAAGGCGAGCCCCTGCATGTAGTAGCGGTCGGAGCGACTGGGGGCCAAACCCTGCAGTATTTCCCTCACCACCCGCGCGAACGACAGCCGCGGAATGAGGAGCCGCGTAGTCCTCTGGAGGTGACGGATGTTCTTCAGCCAGGGTGGGGTGCGATGCTTCGACCTCCGATTGCCCTGGGCAGAAGAGGAGCGGCAACCGCGCTGATTAGGTCCTGCCGATTGGCCTCCACCGGGCTAAAGTGTCAGCCGCCATTTTTAAAAAGAAAGCTGATGGCGACTTTTTTTCTTCTAAAGTCTTACGCTGCATGAAATGCGGTATTTCAGGAGCGGTCGTCTAAATTCGCTTAGAAGACACTTAACGGTCGTCTCGGAAAGAAGCTATACATTTATTAATTTTACCGCTAAACCTGGCGGGAAATGCACCAATGGGCAGACGGATGGGCGAAATCTTGCGATTGGTGGAGCTCCGTTGAAAAGCATTTCGCACCTTCAAAAAAAGAACTCTAGCAATTTCTGCAGTTAGGCAAATCAATACCAAATAAGCACAAAAAAAGCTCTTCTTGCATTGTTGTGCCAAAGGCAGACTTAAAACAGAATGCACTGCATACTGTTTCGCACTGCCACTGCCGGGAGGAACTCTGCACGTGTCTTACGCCTCGACGGCACAAATGTTGTCGTGCGCTACGTCTCTGCAAGAGAGCTCCGCCAAAAGCGGAGTAAGCTCTGCCCGCGCACCGAAAGTGGTCTTGAAGTGGCAATGAACACACCGCCGCTGGGACACCGCCCCTCTGCGATGCCATCGGGCGGAAATCGAGGGACCATTTTTCTCTGGACGCAGTAAATGCGCCGATCGGGGAACCGTTTTGGACGCCCTGGTGGGAGTAAAATGCGAAGTTTGTGCACGCAATCGACAACTAAAAGTTGCCCGTCTGCTGCAATATCTTAAAATTATGCGATTTCTCGTTTGTTTGAGCAGTATTTATTGTCCGTGGCGGGCCGTAGCTGAAAACAGTTCCGAGATAACAAAATTACCTTCTTTAGGAAAAGGGGATTCTTAAAAACCCTTACGTTTAATGCTTTTTCGGGAACATCGAGACAATGTCTATGGGGTGTCCCAGATTACTTGCATCAAACTTTAAAACAAAGCAAACGGAGTCCTCCAGGGAAGTAAAACCAACTGTACGTC